CTGGGAGGGCCTGGGGAGGTGGGGAGGGGGAGCGGGGTCAGCCCGGGGAGAGGGGGACACCCCCACCCGCACCCCTGGCCGGGAGCCCCCCGGCCACGTCCCAGCACTGCCCTGACCCCGACCCTGGTCCCACGGGCTGTCGCCCCCCGTGCCCAGCACCCCGGCCCCCGCAGCCCCACGGCGTCACCCTGGGACCCCGGCCCCGAGTGTTACCTGTGCCCTGCAGTGGGTGTGGGGTTTGGGTGCTGCTCCCGACCCCCCCACGGAGCTCCTGCAGAGGGGACACGGGGCTGCTCCGGCTTTTTATAGCCAGGATGCTTGGGCCTGGATCCAGACCCTTTTTCCTTCTCCCAGGTAATTTTAGTGTCTCCCCAGACCACCTGAAGCAGCCGCTGCCCCCTCCAGCCCCAGGGATGCGCAGGAACTCCCCAGCAAATCCCCTCTGCTCCTATCTCTGTGTGGTGGTTTGAGATAACTTGGCAGAAGCAGAAGCAAAAGCGAAAGTTGCACAAGCAAGAGCGAAAGTTGCACAAGCAAAATGAAATCCCCGATTTTATTTTCTACTTCCCATCCACAGGCGATGTCTGGCGGGGCAGAGTAGAGGGGCAGAAGCCTCCCCACCCCTGCTGCCCACGCTGGGGGATAAGCCCAGTACACGGGCTGGGTCTGGGATGGGGCATGTCCAGCCTCCCACCCAGCAGCACCTCCAAGTCCTTCTCCCAGGGCTGCTCCATCTGTTCATCCCCAGCCTGGACTGATCCCAGGGGTTCCCCTGACCCATGTGCAGCACCAGCCCTTGGACTTGTTGAACCTCATGGGATCCCTGTGGGCCACTTCTCGAGCTTGTCCAGGTCCTGTGCTTCCCTTTTTCCAGTCACCTGGGACTTCCCCTGACTGCCAGGACTTTTCAAATATCCTGGAGAGTGGCTTAGCAGCTACATCTGTGCATGCCTGACCCCCCACCCCCCATGCTCCACCCTTCTGTCAGGGAGTTGCAGAGAGCAAGAAAGTTCCCTCTGAGCCTCCTTTTCTCCAGGCTGAGCCCCACCAGCTCCCTCTGCCACTCCTGGTGCTCCAGACCCTTCCCCAGCTCTGTTCCCTTCCCTGGACAGGCTCCAGCCCCTCAATGTCCTGTACCTGGGGACCCCAAAGCTGCCCCCAGGACTGGAGGTGCCCCAGCAGTGCCAGCACTGGGGGATGGGCACTGCTGGGGTCTTGGGCCCATCAATCCTGGCCCTGTCCTGATCCCTCTGCAGAGCTTAAATTCAAGTTAATCAATAACTGTCGAGACCTTCAAAGGATTCTGCTGCCTTAAACTCACCCAGGCCGTGAGGCTGAGCCTGGGGACAGGGTGAGTGCCTGGGGGACACCCAGATGCAGCCCCAGCCCTACCCGGGCTCTGTCCCATCCGTCTGTCCCTCCTGGTGTCCCTCCTGCCCCCCACCAGGACCTTCCCTCACCCCGGTGTGTTTGGTGTGGCTGAGCTGTAATTCCTGCTCCCCTGGCAGTCCCCACAGCCCTGGGCTCTGCAGTGGGGCCTGGAAAGGTGCCACTAACACACCTGTGCTTTGGTGCTGCTGAGCAGGGCTGGCACCGCACCAGTGCTGTGTCCCCAGCAACCCAACCCCCATCAGAAGGGCTGGGGCTGGGCGAGGGCTTGGGAGGGGACACAGCCAGGACAACTGACCCCAAGTGACCCCAGGAACATCCCAGGCTCAGAAGCTCAGAAAAGGAGAAGGAATGGGATTATTTGAATAGGAATTCATTATTTACAGTCTTTGCTTTCTGGAGCAATGGCTCCACGTGCTAGAGCCCCGCTTTCTGGGAAGGGGGTGGACATCTCCTGCTAAATGGAATCACAGAATAAATCTTTCGGTTTTCACTTTCCTTGTGCAACCTTTCAGTTTTACTGCTGTTTTTGCTCAGTTATCTCAGCCCACCACACCCAGGTGGGAGCAGAGGGGGTTTATTGGGGGGTTCTTGCCTGTTCCTGGGGCCAGAAGTGGCAGTGGCTCCTCTGGGCACTGGGGGGGGGGACAGTAAACTGTCACGTATGAAGGTGTTGAAGAGCTCTGGGCCTAGGATGGAGCCCTGGAACCCCACTAGTGACCAGTGCCAGCCTGATGTCCCCCTATTCCCTGTCACCCTTCGTCCAACCCGTGAGCCAATTGCTCACCCACCCCACAATGTGTTCAGCCAGCCGTGGGCTGGACAGCTTGTCCAGAAGGATCCTGGGAGGGACAGGATACAAAGCTTTACTGAAACCCACCAAGTTCTCCCTCTACAGCCTTGTTTGCGCCCCACGGTGTTGGGTGTTTCTGTTGAAGCAAAGGGATCTTGCTTTTCCACTGCTCTCCCAAAAACTGACTAAAAGAGGAAGCCAACCTTCAGGCAGGAATTCTTTTCTTCAGAAGACCCCAGAAACTGTGTTTTGTTTGAAATTCCTTCACCGAAATGACGCCTCTGACAAATACTTTCCAGTGCAAACCAGGCCCGGACAGCTGACACAAACTTCCAGTAATTTATAATATTTAAATCCCAGTAATTAAAAATATTTAAACCCCACAGATGAGACGATTCTGTAACTCCTTCGGCCACAGCTTCCATTACCCTGATTGCAATGAAGAACTAAAGCCCAGCAGCACAACTAGGGAATCCTTCTTGTGCTTCACAAAAAAACCTGGACGAATTTTAAAATCTGAAGTAAATGAGGCAAATTTGAAGCATTTTCCTCCTGCTATTGCTTGCTTCCCCATGGAGCTCCTTCCCCTGCTGAGGTCCATCATCAGCCGTGCCTACAACTCGTGGGAACGTCACTGAATCATTTCAGCTATATAATACCTCAAGGATTTCCTTATCAGCAAAATTTTTAATCCCCCAACAGTGGTAAAAGAGACAATTTACAAAAATATTTCAATTTACCAGTGTAGTCATGGATTCCCAGCCAGGAACTGCTGGTATTGCCACAAGAGATTTAATGGTTCATATGTCACAATTTAACATTTTGTGGTGAATGAGAGTTTTGAGGGGACTTACAGAACCACTGGCAGATATATCATCAAAAGCAGGTTTGAAACAAAAGCAAAAGCATGACCAGGCTCACTGGCAAAGGTCACTGCTACTCACTGGATGGTCAAGGTACGCAGAGAAAAAGCAAAAGAAAATCTAAAATCAATCAATCTAACCCCAAAATCAACCCAGCCTGACTTTCTTAGGGAAAGAAAGTCATTAATCCAAATGATTCAAGAACCTGAGAGCAACATCCCTGGGACATTTGCTGTAGCACTTCACCCTCATGTGCACAGAGAGCTAAAGAGTTTCTCCAAGGAATGTCCAGGTGTGTGTCCAGGTGTGTGTGTGCAGGGTATATAGAGCTGTATGTACAGAGGTATGGACAGGTGTGTGCAGGTGTATGTAGGGTGTAGGTACAGGTATATGTAGAGGTGTGTGTACAGTGTACATACAAGGTGTGTGCAGGTTTACACCTGTGAAAAATCCCCCTGAGGTTAGGGAGTTTTCCATCCCGGGGAGATCAGCGGGTGCTTCCCCAGCTTCTCTCTCCCGGCCGGTGCCGGTGGGCAGCAGGAGCGGTAGGAGGTGGGGCAGCCGATGGCCGGGGAGCTGCTGCCTGCAGACGGAAGCTGCGGGGGGAAAAGCACTGAAAATTCACCTTGCTTGTCTTAGTCCCCAGGTGTGGGTGATGTGATAGGGGAAAGTGAGCTGGAGAAGGCGAACAGGCTCCCCAGGGCACTGGTCACAGCACGAGTCTGCCAAAGCTCGAGAAGTGTTTGGGTGATCTCTCATCTCAGGCGCACGGTGTGACCCTTGGGGAGGGTCTCGTGCAGGGCCACGGGTTGGACTCGATGGTCCTTGTGGGTCCCTTCCAGCTCAGCATATTCTGTGATTCTGAGCAGGGGATCAGCTCAGGCTCCTGCCTTGGTCCTTCCAGTGCAGCAAATGGGATCGTCGTTCGCTGGCTCTGAGAGGCCCCGATCTGAGGGAACTGCTGGGCTGGGCATAGTCCCTGGAGGTTCAGGAGTGCTCTGACGGTCTCTGAGAGGCCCCTCTCCGAGGAAGATGCTGAGCAGAGCCCGCAGAGGTCCAGAAGAGCTTCAAGGGTCTCCCTCAGGATGGCTGTTTACAGAGTCACAAGAGAGCAGACTTTATTTGCTGTCATTTTCCACCCCGGCCACAATTCGGGTCGGGAACTTTTCTTTCAGAGTTCAATAACGAAAATATTGTTGTTTTTCAGGCAGCAAAAATCACTTCCCAAGGCTGTTCATTGAAGCAGGAGCTCGTTCTCCAGCACGAGATCCTGATAAGGTCGAGAGCAGCTCGGCACAGGCGCTGCTCGTCAAGGCCTGACGAGCATTTGGGAGCTCACGGAGTGGCCCGCGGGGGAGGGGGATTTCTTCCCAATATCCCATCTAACCCTGTCCTCTGGCAGTGGGAAGTGATTTCCCTTTGTCCTGGCACTCCAAGCCCTTACCCAAAGTCTCTCCCCAGATCTCTTGAATCCCCTTTAGGCACTGGAAGGGGTTTTAAGTTCTCCCCAGAGCTTTCTCCAGATGGAACACCTCTAATTTTCCCAGCCTGTTTCCAGAGCAGAGAGGCTCAGACTCTCAGAGCATCTTTGTGGCCTCCTCTGGACGCACATTTTTTTGTGCTGGGGGCCCAGTGCTCCAGGTGGGAATGTCTCATGGTGGGAATGTCTCAGTCCCTGCCCTGCTCCCATCCTGGCATCGACACCCCTCATGGAGCACCCAGGTGGCTCCCAGTGGCTCCGGCCTCAGCCTCTGGGGATCACTGTGTCAGTCACACACGTGGCCTCAGGGATGGCACAGGGACAGCAGTAGTGTGACAGGTGCTGGGGAGGGATTTACAAAAATAAACAACTGAGGCAGTGGGATGGAATTCTGAGGACAGAAGAGAGGGGAAGCTGCCAAGGGCAGCTCTGTTCCCTGGGAACAGGCATTGGAGCCAGCCTAGAGCCAGCGACTGCTCTGCGAATCAGGAGCAGGTGAGAGAAAGGGACCTGGGGAGTCCAGGAGAGGAATGGCCAGAGATGGACCCCTGGGAGCTGTGGAACAGGAAGCTGCAGGGCTTTATCCCCCCCATCCCTCTTGGGCTGTTCTGTGATCTCAGAAATGCTCATCAGACCTCGACAAACAGCACCTGTGCCGAGCTTCTCTCGAGCTTATCAGGAACACTGTCTGCTCCCAGGAACTCGTGCTGGATAATGAGCTCCTGCTTTAACAAACAGCCTTGGGAACTGATTTTTGCTGCCTGAAGAACAACCCAAGTGCAACAACATTTTCGTTATTGAACTCTGAAAGAAAGTTCCTGACCCGAATTGTGGCCAGGATGGAAAATCACAACGATAAAGTCTCTCTCTCTTGTGACCCTGTAAACAGCCATCCTGAGGGAGACTCTTCTGGACCTCAGTGCCCAGCATCTCCCTCGGAGCAGAGCCTCTCAGAGCCAGCAAACACTCCCGTTTGCTGCACTGGGAGGACCAAAGCAGGAGCCTGGGCTGATCCCCCACTCCTCGAGGCTCAGCCTTTCACCCCTCGAGAAGATGCAAAGGCACCAAATGTGAGCCCTTCCCTGAGCTCAAGGGGGGTTTTTCACAGGTATAAATATACCTTGTACATGCGCTGTACATACACCTGTATGTGCACCTGTACACACACCTGTATGTGCACCTGTACACACACCTGTACACACCTTGTACAAAGTCTTTAGCTCTATGTGTGTGTGAGTGGGAATGTGCCACAGCAAATGTCCCAGAAATATTGCCCTCAGGTTCTTAAGTCCTTTCGATTCCTAAGTCAGGCCCCTAGAGGAGTTGCTGTTGTGCTACAGGAAATTCTGTATGAATCCTTTGTTAAATGGTTTAACTTAAGCTGTTGGTTCGGTGCTGTTAAGCTGAAGTGCTGTGAAATCTTTAGGCCCGAAATGTCATTCAAGTCCAGGACCCAGTTTAGCAAGGGCGTCCCCTCTGACCCTTAATGGGAGGGTCTCTCTTATTCCTTTGTATCCTTACTCATTCCTATCCTTATCCTTCAACCCCCTCATTCCACGTAGATAATTTTTGGGTTGATTTTGGCTTTTATACAAAACTTCCTTCTGTCAGTGTCATTGCCGAGGGTTTGAGCCACTTTAAAACTCTCATTCATCACAGGAGCTCCGACTGAGAAACTGTGGGATGAGAAGCCCTGGGAGCAGCAAAGGAAGAGCAGGGAATGTTTCTCGGGGTGTTTGGGAGAACACGGAGATAGGGAAGCATTGCAAGGGCTGGCAGCTGCCAAGAAGCATGCCAGGTGTGCCGGGATGGACTGGGCATCATGGAATCATGGAATCATTTGGGTTGGAGAAGCCCCTGAGTCCAACCACTCCCCAGCACTGCCAAGGCCACCACAACCCATGACCTCAAGTGCCACATCCACATGGCTGTTAAATCCCCCCAGGGATGATGACTCCAGCCCTACTCCAGGCAGCCTGTGCCAGGCTGGACAGCCTTTCTCAGGAGGAATTTTCCCAGTATCAAACCTACACCTTCCCTGGCACAACTTGAGGCTGTTTCCTTTTGTCCTGTCATGTGTTACCTGGGAGCAGCGCCTGACCCCACTTGGCTGCCCCCTCCTGTCCCTCTGGGGTCCTGCCCTGCTCCCCACCTCACTCCTTGTCCTCAGGCTGAGTCCCCCCAGCAACTTCAACCCCCATGTTGCCAGGGCCTGACCCCAGCTGGATTGTACTGGGGACACTGGGACATGGGGACACCAAGAGATAGGTGACACTGGGACAGCCCATCCCCAGAGGGTCCCCCTAAAGCACGGGCCAGAGCCGGAGCCATGGGAGATGAACAAAATGGTTTATTAACAGCAGGACCAGGACAGGGCCTCAGCCACGTGGGGAGGGGACAGGGGGGTCTGGGGGTGCCACGGGCAGGGACTGCAGTTCCTGGGGGTAGGGACAGGCAGGGATGGTGGCTGGTGGCATCTGGGGACGGGCAGGAACAGTGGCTTGAGCAGGTCTGGGGGTGGGGACAGACAAGGATAGTGGCTCAGGAGGGGCCTGGAGGGGCCACAGGCAGTAGTGTGGTTTAGGGGGTCTGGGGGTGGGGACAGGCAGGGACAGTGGCTCAAGGGGGGTCTGAAGAGCTGCTGGCGCTGGCGCTGCCCCTGCCTGCGCGGCCGTAGGGGTGACGGGGGCACGAGGAGGGGGGGGCAGTGTGGCAGGGGGGCAGGACAGGACGGAGGGGGCTTCAAAGTGCTTCCAGTCCACGTTCAACGCAACGGGGGGAGGGGAGGAATCGTATTCACAGCAGAGAGAGTGGGGAACTGGGAGGGGGTGTGGTGACAACCCCTGTCCCAGTGAGCCCCGTGGGGCAGGAACCGGGGCCACGCAGAACCACCGGGGGGGCACAATGAGAACAGCAACAAAACCGGCTACAGGGAGGGGGGGCTCAAACCCGGGGGGCTGCACGGGGCAGCAGGGGCCGGGGGAAGCTACTCCTTGGCCCTGCCGATGATGGCGAGGATGTAGAGGAAGATGTTGATGATGTCAGTGTAGAGGTTGAGCGCGGCGAAGATGTACTCCTCAGGGCTCAGAGCCAGCTGCTTGTTCCCCAGGATCAGCTGCGTGTCCACCGCCAGGAACTGTGGAAAAGGGGGTGTTGGAGGGAGCCCGGAGCTGGGAGGCACCAGCAGTCCCCCAGTTCCCCCCCCAAACCAGCCAGGCACCCCCTGAGCACATCCTGCACCACCCATCCCCACAGCTGCGCTCACATTCTGAGTCCCCACCAAACCAGAGCACCCAGGGGTCCTGGTGGCACTGGCCCCCCTGGAATGGGGGATCCTGCCCCCCTCAACTCACGCAGGTGAAGAGCAGGGCCCCCAGCGAGGCGTAGATGATGTCCACGATGCGGTTCCGGATGAAGATGCAGAGGATGGAGAAGAGAATGAGCACGACGAGGCAGATGATGAGGACGCCTCGGCATGAGGTGAAGTCATACTTGGTCTGTGGGGAGGGGGAGTCAGCAGAGGGGTCAGACCCCAGTTTGGAGGCCCCAGACCCAGCAGGAAGCTGAGTGGGGGGGTTATACACCCCATTCAGAGCCCCTCACGAGCCAGCAGGGAGTTGATGGGGGGGTTGTACGCCCCACTGGGAACCCCCAGCTGGGAGCCAGGAGGGTCATACCCACTGCCTGGAGACCCCCAGCCAGGAACCAGGGGGGTTGTAACCCCAGTTTAGAGCCACCCAGCCAGGGGCAGCCCTGGCACTGACCTGCAGGGAGAAGATGACGACGGTGAAGCAGACGACAACGGTGATGCCGACAGCCATGATGACGGCGTCAGTGTCGTAGAAGCTGGCAATCATCCCCACCATGTAGGACAGGCTGACGGTCAGGATGGACTGGGGGTAAGGGGGAACCCGTCAGGTTAGTCAGCACCCCCAACGTATTCTGCCACCCACCTTGGCCTAG